TAGCGAACTCTCGTTGTCACATCTGTGACGAATAACAGACGGCTTTGTTCTCCGGCTACGGTTGCCGTTAACGCGTGCCGGCTTGGAAGTTTCCCGAATTGCTTTTCGAATCAGTCGGTTTCGTGTTGGGAAAATTGCAGGGTTTTCTCCAATTTCTGGAAAACTTTCCATACTGGTTATGATACCAGCACCAGTCGGGGTTATCTGTCTCTCGTGGTCTAGAGACAGATCGCTTACGAGAATTGCTTCTACGTGGTGTGCGCGATCTCTTACGGTCGGTACGAAGACTAAGATAACGCGTGAGTGTGTGACATAAGTCGGTTATATCATTCTGAGTCGTTTGAGGTTTTTCTTTGACTGAAAATACCTCGGTTGTAGGTTTCGTAATTTCTAGAATGCGGTCGGCAGATGCAGCTAGTTCGTCTAAGGCGTTGTTCTGGAACGAGACCAGAACTGCTTGCACCTGTTGGGGAAGTTTTGACAAGAAGAGTTGTTTGAATAGGCCTTCGTCGAAGGTTCTTGGGCCTATTACCTCTCTCATCCGTTGCAACATGTCCGTCGCAGAACCGTGTTGCAGGTCGATATTGTTGAAGAGTTGATCTAACCTTTGTCGATCGGTTAGGTCTCCTCGTTTAAGAATCGAGCGTTTTAAGATTTCGTAAGGATCGGAAACATCACTAGTAAACATACTAGGTGTTACGTACCTGTTGAATTCGCGCGGTAGTGCCTTGACTACTGCGAGGAATTGTGCACGTGTGTCGATCACGCCGTGCTCGGAGAAGTCGGCTTCTGCGTAGCAAAACCAGGCTTCGATGTTGTCGGGCCAGAAAGGCATGAGTTGAAACGAAGGCGGGGACAAAGTCTTAAGCTTGAGTACTTTAGGTGTCTGTTCAGTCATGATGAAGTATGAAGTACGATAATGAACAAGGGGAAAATATATATATCCAGGAAAAAACACGAAAAAAATCACAGTGTTTAAAAAAGTTAAAAAAATAAGGCAATGATATATAAAAATCCCAAAAAGGAACAGACTCACAGTTGCAATTAGGTGTACCAGATCACGTCGGTTTCACCAATGTTGATGTCACAGGTATTCAGTGTTTGACAACGCTTCTACCAGTAACACCTTCTAATATATTTCGTTCCCGCCCAGAGAAATCAAAAGACAGAGTCGAGGAGATCGGAAGAGTATATTTGGCGATGACCAATATATCGGAATTCTCTGATCTAATCTGGCTAGCGATTGCGGTTGATGTTGAGCACGGCGTTACCACACGTGATCTGGTGCGGATGCCTGACCGAGCGCCTTCAGCTAGGTGAGTCCACTAAAACATATGGTCAGCATCCAATGTCGAAAACTTAGTGCTATTTATTTTGGGGATTTATTTACCGCTACAACCCTGACCCTATAATGTCGATTTCTTGGATATGAAGTCGCCAGAAAATTAAATGCGATTTGACACCTGATCATTTGAGCCTATTGGCAAGACATATATATGGTTGGCCCTATCACAAGCTTTCAAGAAACTAAGGTAAATAAAGTCAACCTTCCCCTTATGATCAAGAATGGTAGTCCATCTGTCATGGAATGAATCAAGGGAGATATATAATCCCTTCTGAATATAGCTACTGCCTTCCGAAACCTTGAATAAATATAAGTGATCATTAGAAACACCCAGCTTATTAAAATCCAAAAAACAGGGTTTATCATCATACGTGACAAAACGAACAATAGCTCTACAGACCGGCTGGACATGTTCTAATTCACCACATTTAAATATTTGAAATGACGGAATGCACATGATTTACACGAGTGGAATCTACCTCAGGGTAAGCATTTATCAAACATGTGTTCACCTCTGTAACTTGCTTCGCAACTCCTCAATGAATTGTTATCTGCATGACAGTGAGCACGCAATGGATTGAGATAACTAAGTAATGTAGTAGAATCCTTGATGTCCTGACGAATCGCTTTATGAAATTTCACTCTTTCACAGAGTCTGAAGTACACTTCGCGTGATTTTATAGTAGTTCATGAATTCTGTAAGGAAATGAAATAGGCTTTTCTGGGAATGCTAAAGCTCTTAGTAAGTTGTTGGCATCCTTTCCGATGAATGTAATTAAATAGCCACAGTTTTATCATCCCTAACATATTTCTTGGTCATACTCCAGAGTTCAAAACTTTCCATGTTATCTTCGAAAGATTCAGAGTTTGAATGTAAATCAAACTGTTGAATCATCTGCTCCATCGCGACATAAATGTGATGGCTAAAATATTCGAACTATCGTACTAACTAGGAATTCCAGGAATAGCACAATTTAAACCAGATAAAATTAGATGAGCGCAAACGAACGTTTTGTATTTGGAATTCGTAATGAGCGAGTGATGAAGTATAAAGGTATCATTAGTTCCTTCAAATACCACAATCATCTGTCATTTACTGCGTAGGCCTAACAATTGCTCATGTGGGGATCTGATTAGTTTACAGAATCACCCGTTCAGTTTGTTTGCTCAGATCAATATCTGATATATACATGTGCTGATCAATCTAGTATTCAACTTCTGACTAGTAGGTCTCGCTAATGTGATTGGTTGGCAAAAGATTTACGAATGACACGTATATGATTTGATCCAACTACTTGGCGCAGAAATACTCAACAACGATTACTCATTCATGGTCTGGTGCGGAGGTTTGATTGGTTGCATTCACTAAAGGCGCGTCCAGTAAAACCAACAGGGCTTCTTCGGCAGTTTCAGCTTCCTAGAAACAATTCAGGAAACTTGTTCTTTATAAGGCTTCTATAGTTCTACCGTATGTGTGTTTAATACTGATGAATTTAGTTCAGTCAATAAGACAATCAATGAGAGCGCATATTGAACGGCAAGTTCTGTAAAATTTTCAAAACAACTAGATAGTAAACATGACGAATTATCACTTCCAGTTTTAAAAATGCCATTTGAATAATATTTACAATAACTTCGAGAAAAATGCAACAGGTTCTAAAATATACACCTGCCCATTGTTATTGGACGCCACCAATTTATGGAGCAGTTACATATACGGTAGTGTGCGTGCTTCGAGCGTATATCTGACCTGGTTATAACTTAATTTATGTAATGAACCCATTCTCCGCATCCTTGTTCATTCGGACTGCCAAACGCATAACTAAGTAGTAGCGTTCATTACTGCCATACTAAATGAAATATCCACATATTTCGGAAAATATCGGTTTCATTTATCATTTCATGATACAGTGGCCTAGCAATTTCGAACTTGATTGATAAATCTTGCTAATTGAACGCCATATTCGGTTCCTAAGCTATTCTCGTAACCCTCCCAAAGCTAGAACTACACAGCGACATAAACACGAGAGAAAATGCGCAAAATATGCGAGAAGCGCTTTACTCCAAATGTTCATTCTAGTACAGAAAATATAGGGCTTTTATAATATTTTAGACGTCCTTGGGTTTCCCGAAGATTGTGAAATGCTACTAAACATAGTAGCAGTTTAGTAATCATCCAATCAGAAACTCTACATGTGACTTTTCACTTTCTTCATGTTTCTGGCTAGACTTCAAGTGAACGCTGATTGAATAAAATGCTCTTTAGTGTTTTCCCGATCATTGCTTGTCTTTTGCGAGAAGTTTTCCGGATCACCCCAACATTGTATTTCTTGAGAGTTCCAAAATAACATGATGTAGCGGTTCAGTGTTCCTTAGTGGTCAATAGCCGACTATTAAACTCCAGTCAATCACAAAGTCATAAATTAGGGCATTCGAAGCAACCTTTATTTATGAATTGATTTAATTATCGTCACTGTATCTTATATTATACTAACCATTCTATAAATGAAGTATGAATGACTCATTTTCTACGTTTTAAAATGTTGAAGTTAAATCTCTGGACTTTAAATGAACAACATTGAATGGAATTAGTGGAGAAAAGAGCCTGGTATTATCTTGGTAACTAACGTAGTCTGCACAAAGGGGAGAAATAAGATTAAATTCCTTCATACAGTTAACTATCACTTCTTTACGCATGTATAAGTTTACGTTATTATGCTACACTATCTTAATTTAAAATGAACTTGGTAGCTTTTATTTACATTTAATTTATTCTGCATATCGAATATCCAAAGGAAAAGTGATCATAAGACGGTGGTTAGAGGTAGTCGTCAGGGAACCCTGGATCTAGGTTTTGTGCTACTTGGCACTCGTTAGCAAGTTGTACCAGTACTCTTGGAGGAATTGATGCTTCCCCGACGGACTCGATCGTATGTCACCCAGATTCATAGTTAGAAACGTTACCACTGGGCTTTCTGGGCCGCGACTGACCTCCTGTAGGGCTAAGGTGTATTTACAATTGATTGATCGCTGGGTGATGATCAATGTCAATGATATGAAATCGAATCCATCAGGGAGCATCAGTTCCCTCAAGATTACAGTTACACCTTGCTGACAACTGCCAAATAGCACGAAACCTTGGTCCAGGGTTTCCTGTTCACTACCATCTTATTTCAACATAATGCACGCAATGTCGAGTCACCTAGACTAGTGACCACATTGCAACATGGTTGATAGTATTCTATCTGCACTAAGAAAGACTTGATATACATGGCATCAATCACCACCCCATGATCAATCCATTGAAAAATGATCACTAAACAAATTAAATTATTGACTTATTTAAAGAAAACAATGTTTTCTCTAAACACTGATCAATAATTATTCATTCATATATTTTTTTTTCAAAGAATGTTTTACATTGTGATCGAATTTTAACAATAACAACACACTATTATCACTAGTCATTCATCGAATTCATAAGATAAAAATATCTTTTTACAAAAACAATTAAATATCATTCTTATTATAGTTACTATTACATGGAAGTAATAAATAAATGATATAGCAATTTGATTGGTTAATTTTCGTAACATGATAAAGTCACGTGAATATTAGTAAACATCTCCTTCATACAAATTATTGATCATATTTAAAATTTCTTTAGTCACTAAGTTAAAGAATAATTTAGTTTAAAAGTTAATTGGTATTGTTGATATCAGTAGTAAATTTTCTGCGAATTGAAGAAAGAAAAAAACAAACAAAAAATAATAATAATGTTAATCAAATTTATTTTTCCATCATTAAGATCAAATACTAATCAAGAAGTTTGTCGTATTCATTATAATCGATCTTTGAAATCATTAAATATGGATTGGATTGCTAAAGCTATATTTCAGATTACTAATTTAAAACGAGATACATTATTTAGTCTTTATTATTATGGTAAGTAGACAAAAAAACTTTTTTTTTCTATCTATTTGCTATCTATCTATTCTCTAATGTTCATTAAAAGTGTAATATCTAGTATTTTTCTATCATTCTTTTGTTTTCATTCATTGAGTAAATTTCATATTATAAGGATATCATCTTTAGTAGAGATTGCATTTCAGTCGTTTAAAGCTACTTATATATATGTATATATTCCCACGACGGGAAAGTAAGAACACAAAGACTGGCATAAGTGAAGATTTATTAACCTCCAAAACACAACAACGACGACGACAAATCTTGTCGAGAATGCACTCATTTATATATTGATTGTACACCCATTTTGATTAATAATTAGGATTAAATTACATATATGAAAAATAATTAGTCATAACAAATCATATACTGAGCATAGTTCATGTCAATGGAATACAAGGAAATTCATTAGCCCCACTGCAATTTTTTTTTAAAAACCCCCCACCTGCCCTTCAGTCATTTTAATGGACTTCTTTAATATGACTCCGTTCACAGATCGGACCAGCGTTTCTTCAACTTTGACCGAAGTCCGCAACAGCCTGGATGATGTAATTCCAAATACTAATCCTATAGCGCCATTTATTAGCAAAATCAGGCAGTTACAGTTAGTTTTCATGAGAATTCCCATGGTATTAAGAAAACAAATCAATTCCCTATTACTGGAAGGCTTAGAAGCGTCGTCAGAAATCTCCAACCTACTTCTGTGTATTTTCACACTGTGTCTATGTTTATTGGAATTAAGCGTTCTGAGAAACTGTGATCAGTCAGACTTAGAAACCGAAGATATTTGGACAACTATCAAAGAATCAAAGAATTTTTCTTTCACACCATACAATTTTTTAGAAATGGGTGGTAGGGAATCTTAATTGCCGTGGGCTTAATGTCAACCGAACACAAGAATATCGCATATTATACAAAATAAAAATATCATACGAGAAAAGAGAACAAACATTACATTGAGTAATCATTACAGTGAATCAAAACGGAACCATAACTCATAATGAGTGAATCAATCGAAAATTGATTTTTCTTTCCATCAGGCTCTTATATATTGTACAACATAATAAAGGGAGGTAAAAGGTTCAAAAATGCTTGTTACTATACATATATATTGGACATTGAAAATAAATAATATATATTTAATATCCTAATGAGTAGAAAAATTAGATTTCCTGATGTTTTGTGACTTAGTGAAAGTCACTAATTCAGAGAATAAATAAATAAATAACCCGAGTTTCAATCTTGGCTTACACTAAGTCACGAAACGTCAGAAAATCTAATTTTTCTACTCATTGGCATGTTACAAATATATTAATTAATTTATTTATAACAATCTACCCAATGCTTAATTTATTCGAAATTATCAAGTCAAGCCTTGATAATGATATCTACAAACTGTTAACAGTTAAAACAATTTGCATTTACCTATTATGTGCATTCATTTCAAGAAGAGAATGTGATTAAATAAACGGATTTGTTTACGCTATTAAAATGTTATTCATGAAATCAATATTTCTTTTGACTAAATATATGTTTATGTCAACTAATCAGTTGGGTTGTTATTCATTCAAATGAATTCATTACTAATTGTTTTGACAATAGAATTAAACGATGCGATTACTGGAATAGTTGAAATGGTCAATCTGATATTTAAACCTCTAAAGGCGAAATTAAAGGTGCAATTATCTGAGTATATTATTATGGAATGAATTATATATACATAAAATTTAATTAAGCCAGTATTGATCAAGTTGACTATTAATCGTAGTTCTATCCATTGTAACTCATTTTTTCATTAAAATCGGTGAAACTATAATTTATGGGCGAACCAATCAGATTTGGGATAACAAGTCTTGGAGTGTGGCGCGACACTCATTCATCCATTTAGATAAATAGCGTTTTAGCATTTTAGCTAATAAAAATACTAAATCTTATTCATAATCCTAACCATCAACTGTAAAACATAATTCTAATTCCTCACACTGGTTGACAACAGTCATTTAGTTCCAGTTAGTAGGTGGACTTTCTCAGGGTAACTTGAACGATTTTTTCTATTATTATATTTCGGTCACTGAATAAATGTGTAAAAGATAACTGTTACATCTTAACCTTGTTTGAGACATTGACACGATAGGCTACCTAGTTTAACCTTGAGGCTAAGAACGCGTGAGTCCGACTTGTGACTAACGCCCTCGGGGCAGAAAGGCAAAACTATCCTGTCACTTGATTGATTGGTCGGAGAGAGAGATGACACTGCTTGATTTAGATTAATATAACAAGACATAATTAAGTAGATGACTAACACGACTACAAACCACGAACCATTAGAAAAATACAACTAATAGTTTTGGTAGAAAATGGAGTGCAAGCGCTAATGGTTTATAGAATAAATCAGGAAGAAAACTAAGTGTTAGTATTTTGTAAACTTTGAAATAAGTGAAATAATCTTCGCAAAAGTAGCTTATGGTTTTCCGTTACGGCTTTACTATTTTTTCTCTTCACATCAATAACTTTGATACTAAACAGTAAAAATGTGGTTTCTACATTGAGCCACAAGTTTTTAAATCAAAGTATTCATGTGTATTTCAGTGGCCTGCTGATTGTTATGTCCTATGGACTTGTTAATATATCACATAACTAAATCGTCAATAGAACACCGACTAGTATGAGCCTGGCACTATGCCAAACCAATGACTCATAAACCAATACGAGCAGCTCAGAGTCAATTCTGAGTCTTCATTGGCTCTTCATGCCTAGCCTAGTCCGTTTGAGTTCAGAATACAGTTTCAGCGTCCACCATATGTATCATGTATCTCAGACATTCGCACTTTATATACAAGCAAATCAGACCACATCATACCAGGAAATAGAAAATAACATTTATACAAGATCAGGCCGAAAAAGGCTGTGTGTGAGAGAGGCTTTCTGGTTTTCAATGGTGGTCTAGCGTTCATCGATTCGCGATCAAAAACTTAGCAATCTCCACAACCCCCAATAATAATCATTATGTGCTCACTGGTGGCTGACTTCGTGAGGTGATTCTCGGTGTTCTAGTGAGAAGCCGTAACAAGTCGAGCTAATCCGTATGAGATAGAGATAGGTCGCACAATTTCGTAGATTGGTTGAAGTTAGGCATTAACACTAATGGATGCCCGCTCAGTGGTCTAGAGCTTAGGCCGAAGGTCGTGGTCTTGAAACCCGCGAGCGGGATCGTGGATGCGCATTGCTGAGGAGTCCCACATTCGGACAAATGGCCGTCCAGTACTTCCAGGTTTCCAATGGTGGTCTAACACCAATTGGTGCATGATCTCAATAAAAAGATCGGGAACAACTTAAGAACAGTAAATCATATTATAGTAGTCAATAGTTCAAATGGAAGCTTATAATAAAAGGAACATTAATATACACATATTATAGTTACTTAATAGTTATATAATAAGAATATATATCTGATAACGGTCCATAAATAATTCCTAGCAGTTGAAATCCATATATTTTTTGTTAAGATATAACACTGATTAGTACACGTAAATTTTAACAGTTAAGTTATTCGTCTCAATCCACTAACCTAATTCTGTTTGAACTGAATAATGATATCAATAGCACTTAATGATTATGTATGCAATCAGTAAAGGCATTTTTCATCATCTGTCGGGCGAATTTTTGTGTACACTTTATTATAATTCAAGTTAGATATACTTAACAAAGCTAATAATTAATCTTGAAGATGCCACAGGTATTTGGAGTTTGACAGCGCTTTAACCAGTAACACCTCCTACTATGAATCTTACCCACTAAGTGCAATGAAAAGGCAGAAGCGAGAAGGTTGGAAGATATATTTGATAGGCTATCAATATGTCGAGGATCTACTGATCTAATCTGGCTAGCGATTTCAGGGGATGTTGAGCACGGCGTTCCCACTCGTGATCTGGTGTGGATGCATGACCGAGCGCCTTCAGCTAGGTGAGTCCATTAAAAGTAATGTGGTCAGCATCCAATGTCGAAGACTTAAAGAGCTATTGATTTTTGGGATTTATTCACCGTTACAATCTTATTTACAAAATCCTACATTATTGTTATTATTATAAAAATTCACTGTTATAATTCAGTTTTCTCTTTTCACTCTTATTTTAACTTATATCACTCTAAGTTTATGTAATCTATTGAAATAAGATATTAAATATTGTAATGAATAGTTTACAGTTAAACAAAATTAGGCAATTTGTTTACGTTGTTTATTTTCAATCTGATCAATTCGGTCAACAAGATATATTTGTATCATCATTGACACTAATTTCATTTTATGATGGAAATGATTTAGAAAGTAGTAAGTAAAACGTCATAACTACAACTACATAACACTTAGAGTCAACCGAAATGTGAATGTAACACGAATTCCATGAGTTACATCAAAACATGACATTTTGTTATGATTTGGATTGAACAGAGTAATGCGTTTTTTTGTTGTTGTTGTTGAATGATAGACATTGATTATGTGCAGATAGAGTATAATACTTTTGGTAGAGTATTTGTTATTATTATCAGAATGGATTTTGTGGAGATTTTTAGAAATTTTACAAGTTGAAATCATGAGCCAATTTAAGCTAGACCACCATGGAAAACCTGGAAGCACTGGACGGCCGTTTCGTCCTAGTATGAGACTCCTCAGCAGTGCGCATCCACGAATCCGCCCCCCGCGGGATTCGAACCCAGGACCTACTGGCTTCGCAATTGGCTAATGATTTCAACTTGTGAAATTTCTAAAAATTTCAACAAAACCCATTCTGATAATAATAATAATAACCTGCTCACTAGTGACTGACTTCAGGAAACACTCCTGGAGTTCTAGTGAGAAGTCGTTACCAGTGGAGTTCAACCAGGTCTGTTGTGAGATAGGAACTCACTGAAGACAATGGTGTACGGTGGCGCAACTTCGTGGATTGGTTGAAGTTAGACATTAACACCGCTGGATGTCGGCT